TCTCTCTCTCTCTCTCTCTCTCTCTCTCTCTCTCTATATATATATATATACGCATCAGCACTCGGCATCGGCGCGCCATATGGATCGAGCTCCACGCGGCCGCCACAGTCCGCACCGGTAGCCGTGTTACCATGGGCGCCGGAGTCTCAACGATCTGGCTCTCTTCAACCAGTACACCCCCATTGACGCGTGCCAGCCATCGGGGGGAGTGGCCACATGATTCGCCTGCCGAGACGCCTGGATGTCCAACGGCGCGCGATCAGACACCAGAGTAAGCTCCACACTCGACCACGCACAACGACGACACTTCGACGAGCTGCACTGCACACAGTTAGCAAACGTGCTCTCTCGACAACAGGACGAGATGCGACGACGAGCCGCACAGAGTTGGACAGAAGCCCCTATCAACCCACCTCCTGTGATGGCTGCCGCGCCAGCTGCAACCCGCGTCACTGTCTTCAACGGCGACGACCGAGAATGTCCTGCCTGTATCGAGGCCTACGTACATGATGATCGACTGGCACGCCTATAGCGCCATCGCATCTTGCATCAGGCATGCCACCTACAGCTTTTGCAGAACACCGACACCCACCTGGTGCAGTGTCTAGCGTGACCCTGGCACTCCGAACGCAACATCTGCGGTGCCGGGCCTGCCGATGCCAGACAGCAATTCCTGCGGAGATCCTATCAACACCACGGCAAGACCTGACGCAGTCCCGTGGTAGTGTTTCCAGCTTTGCGCCCGCTGCCGACGTGACAGGACCGTGCGACACCCACCTGGACCTGCAGACTCCGCCGCACTGCCCGACGTTCCTGCGGTGGCCAACCTCAGTATCCAGAAAAGGGCTCAGGGGGTCGCCCTGGTACGTGCCGCGCGCGCGCCATAGTGCGCGCGCGGCGTCCAGCACATTGAAGTGTTCTTCGTAACCCTTGAGACCCGAACCACGAAGTGCAAAATATGAATAGAAAGAAGCCGCGTAGGCAGTCGGCAAAACCTACCACGAAGGGCCTTCTTGGGAGGCCTCCTGGAGGTTCATTACATGTTTGTTGTGACTCTTGGTGGCGTTGAGGGGCCTCCGATGTTTTTTTGTGCCCCCCCCCGGGGCCTCTCGAGGGTGCGATGGGGGCATTTTGGGGGCCGCGCCCACTCGTTTGAAACATCGTCGACAGCTGCGTGGACGGAGGGCGAATTGTTCCCGACCACCTTTTGGTGTTGGGTTCTCGTTTCGAGTCCGCAGCGCCCCGCGTCTCAATCAGACCTTTATCCTCTGCCTCCTCCTTTGTTCCTCTCCTTGCTTCTGCTCTTCGTATGTCCTCGACGTCGTAGGCCCCAGTGGCACGGTTCGAATGGGGGCGCCGCGTCCATTCTGGCACAACCCTCACACGTTTCGTGGCCCCACGGGGAGCTCCACCGAAGGCCCGAGTGCCCAGTGACACGGTTCACATGGCGGCCCCGCACCATTGCTACACACCCCATCAGACGATTCGTCGCCCCATAAGGAGCTCCACCAAAGTCCCCAGTGGCACGGTTCGCATGGCGGTCCTCCACAATTTCGGCACACCATTCACACGTTTCGTGGCCTCATGGGAGTTTCCAAAGGCCCCAGTGGCACGGTCCGCATGGCGGCCGCGCCTCAGTTCGGCATACCGGCATACCCATCACATGGTTCGTGGCCCTACGGGGAGCTCCACCGGACTCCCCAGCGGCAGGGTTCGCATGGCGCCCCCGCACCCCTCCCGCCACACCTCGCACACGCTTCGTGTCCCCAGGGGGAGCTCAACCGAAAGCCCCAGTGGCAGGGTTCGCCATGCGGCCCCGCACCCACTTCGGCACACACACACACCTCACACATTTCGTGGCCCCACAGAGAGTTCCACCGAAGTCCACAGCGTCGCGGTTCGCACGGCGTCCTGGCGTCTCTGCACCCATTTCGGCAGACAAGCCCCTCACGCGTTTCGTGGCCTCATGGGGAGGGGAGTTCCACCAGAGGCTTCAGTGGCAGGGTTCGCATGGCGGCCCCGCACCCAATCTGGCATACCCCTCAAAAGTTTCGTGGTCCCTCATGGAGTTGCCCTTCCTACGTCCCACTTGCCTTGCGGCAGTCCACGCACCCGCATATGGTTGTGTCCTTCGTCAGAATAGTGGTCAAAGTTCGGTTCTCCCTTTGGTGCCGCGCACATCCACCGCAGGAAACTTCCACGAGCGATAACGTTGAAGCAAGGTTGTGTTTCTCGCCTGTAACCTTTCAACTTATATGACCAGAGACGGACATTTGCACAACTGGTAGAAGGATGGAAGCGGTGCATGTTTCGAAACTTCCGAACTCGTCATGTCCGCGCGGAGCAGTTGCAGACGGAAGACTGTCATGTTTCAACGCGGGCAATTGTTGGACTCCCATGTGAACGTTCTAGCACTACCCAGATTGCGACAAAATGGAGGGCGGTACTTTGCAAAACGTGAGAATCAGGTTTGTAAGGGGCATGTGGCGACGGGATTGCAGCATCGTTGATCAAGCCTAGCTTGTAACTTGGTTCTCATATTCCTCGTCCTCCTCCTTCTCGGCCCTTATTCTCGGCGTACCTTATCCTCGGCCCTTCTCCTGCTTCCTCCTCGTCCCTCCTCATGCGTCTGCACATCCTCCTCCTCCTCCTCCTCCTCCTCCTCCTCCTCCTCCTCCTCCTCCTCCTCCTCCTACTCATCATGTTCCCCCCCTCCTCTTCCCTCTTCGTTTCTCCTCCTCTTCCTCATCGTCCTCGTCTTCCTCCTCCCCCCTCCTCGTTATTCAAGAGGCTTACGCCGTTTCGCCGACCCCCAGACGGAGTACGGAGACCCTGGAAGTTGCTAGAGCGAGGAAGGGGCTTGAAGGTCTTTCATGGCGGCATGGGTGTCAGCCATCTTGGCCGCAGGGTGCTATGGCGTGTCTGTGTGTGTGTGTCTGGATGTCTCTGTGTCTCTGTGTCTCTGTGTCTCTGTGTCTCTGTGTCTCTGTGTCTCTGTGTGAGTGTGAATGTGTGTGTGCGTGCGTGCGTGTGTGTGTGTGTGCGTGTGTGTGTGTGTGTGTGTTGTGTGTGGTGTGTGTGTGTGTGTGTTGTGTGTGCGTGCTGTGTGTTGTGTGTGTTGTGTGTGTGTTGCGTGTGTTGTGTGTTGTGTGTGTTGTGTGCGTTGCGTGTGTGTGTGTGTTGTGTGTTGTGTGTGTTGTGTGTTGTGTGTTGTGTGTTCTTGTCTGATGTGTGTGTTGTGTGTTGTGTGTGTTGTGTGTGTGGTGTGTTGTGTGTGTGTGTTGTGTGTGTTGTATGGTGTGTGTTGTGTGTTGTGTGTGGTGTGTGTGTGTGTGTGTGTGGTGTCTGTGTGTCTTTGGGTGATTCTGCAGAGGCTGGCCAGGAGGAAGACTGTGCACGGGGCCCTGTTGGGGTCTTCTTGGGCCGTCTTGGGCTCCTCTGGGGCAGTTGCAGTCGCGGTCTCGAGGCCCTCCTGGGGCTCCTGTGGTCATTTTTGGGCGACCTTGTGGGCCTTTTGAGCCGTCTCGGACACTGCTAACACCTCAAAGGCGCACATGCAAAAACTGCACGCTTCCCGAAGGGATTGGGACGATGTTTGCCCATTGGGACCTGGTCCTTTGGAGCCCTCTTGGGGCATGTTCGAAGCCTCTTGGGCCGTGTTGAGGCCACCTTGCATGGGTTGAAGATTCCTCCGCGCGTTGCAGTCCCGCTTGAGCCGGCTCAAATCGCCGGATTTTAGACCCCAGCGGAAGGGAAATGGGGATGGGGACAGCCAATAATTTCACGTTCTTCTGCATTCCCAGCCAGCTTGGGTCGGCTGATCTCTCTTCGCTGCGCGAGCGGGTGGAAGTGACCCACTCCAGGGGCAGCCGAGCCAGGAAGAGTGGCAGCCGGCAACGATCCCCAAGCGCTGGACCCCACGCCCATTGCAGCGCAAGATGCACGTGCGCACAAGCGACTTGATTTGCGATGCACGCGTGTGCCCTTGTGCTCGCTTGTCCGTAGATCCCGCGTTTGGGATAGCCCCCCTGAGGGGCAGCGGATCTATCGATGTGCTATTCCCGGTTGCTTCCGTGGAAATAATGCCCCTTGTCGTGTCCCACCCCGCCCGCCTCTCATCACCGCCCCTTCTCTCTCAGGTTCCTCCCGCCGCTCCCTGCCACCTCGCGAACCCCCCAACAAAAACCTCGGAGGGGAGGGGGAGGGTACCCCTCCCCGAAGGGAAGAGGGCCGTGGAAGAAGAAAGAAAGGTATCGCTGGATCACCTTAGCCCAGAGCGCTGGTGGGATTCCTCCCTGCGCCCCCTCCGCCCCCCCCAGAGGAACAGGGAGGAGGACCAGGAGGAGGAGGAGGAGGAGGACCAGGAGGAGGAGGAGGAGGACCAAGAGGAGGAGGAGGAGGCAGCGGGTAGTAGCGAGGATAAAAGGATGAGGACGACACGACACAGTCGGAGCACCCCCCCAGAGTCTGGGGGGTGCCCCAGAGCCTGAACAGCACCTTTTGCAGCTACCGTGGACCCCCCCCCCCGGGTCTCGGGCCCGCTGTTCGACCAGAGTCGTTGTGCGACGGTCCCTGGGCCGGGCGAGGCTTGCGGGATGCCGAAAGCTGCAGCAGACAGCAGAGAATGCCCGTCGCGCTTGGCTTACGACGCGAAGGGTGGGTCTTGGCCTCTACCCTGCTCCCCCCCCCCCCCCTCCATCCCTCGTTGGGGGGACGACCATTGACATAAACATAAAAACTCGGAGATCCGCGCGGATTTCTCGGATCGGCGCTTGACCCCCTTGCCGGCGCCTCTGGCGCCGCCCATGGCGCGCTCCGCGCGCCTGGGAAGGGGGGTCCAACGCCGATCTGAGAAATCCGCGCGGACCTCTGAGTTTTTATGTTTATGTCATTATTTGTTCCCCCCCATTATTTGTTCCCCCCCATTATGTTTATATGTTTATGTTTTTATGTTTATGTCATTATTTGTTCCCCTATCGTTCCCCCCCCTGCTGCATGAGGACGGGGAGGGCGGCGCCGAGGGCGAGGTGGCGCAGGGGCTGGACGACGAGATGGCGGCGAAGAACTTGACCTACAACGCCAAGGACGTCAACGACCAGGCGAGGCGCGCGCCTCGCGAGGGGGGCGACTTGGAGGAGGAGGAGGAGGAGGAGGAAGAGGAGGAGAAGGAGGAGGAGGAGGAGAAGGAGGAGGAGGAGGAGAAGGAGGAGGAAGACGAGGAGGAGGAGGAGGAGGAGCACAACGACGACCACGAGGACGAGGTTGAAGAGGAGGAGGAGGACGACGACGACGAGGACGAGGTCGAACACAAGGAGGAGGGGGAGGAGGAGGAGGAGGAGGAGGAGGAGGAGGAGGAGGAGGAGGAGGAGGAGGAGGAGGCGGGGGGGTGGAATTGGAGGGGGATTGGGTAGAGGAGGAAGAGGGAATATGGACAAGAGGATGATGATGATGATGATGATGATGATGATGATGATGATGATGCTGATGCTGATGCTGATGCTGATGCTGCTGCTGCTGATGATGATGATGATGATGATGTTGATGATGATGATGATGATGATGATGATGATGCTGATGCTGATGCTGATGATGATGCTGATGATGATGATGATGATGATGATGATGATGATGATGATGATGAGATGATGTGATGATGATGATGGGGGAGGAGGAGGAGGAGGAGGAGGAGGAGGAGGAGGAAGAGGGGGAGGAGGAGGAAGAGGAGGAGGAGGAGGAGGAGGAAGCACAAGAAGGGCTGAAGAGAAGGAGTGCCGAGAAGAAGCAGGCCGATAAGGATGAGGAGGAGGAGGGAAAAGAAGGGCGGCATGAAGGAAAATAGTAAGAGGAAGGGAGGAGGAGAGGGAGGGAGGGGGAAGCTGAAAAGTTAGAGGCGAGTGGGAAGGGCACTAGACGGGAATAGGGAGTAGGAAGGGAAGCAGGTGACGAGGATGAGGACATGTAAAATAAGTATCAGGACTTGAGGAAGGAGAAGAGGGATAAGAATTAGAAGAAGAAGAAGAAGAAACAAGGAGGAGGATACGGAGGAAAGGGAGCACGAAGGGAAAGACGACGGGGAGGAGAAAGAGAAGGTGGAGGAGGAGGAGGAGGAGGAGGAGGAGGAGGAGGAGACGGGGGGAGTCAGGAGCGGAAAAAAGGCGTCTACGAACATGATGCTTCATTGTTTATAGAAATTGCTCCCTGGGAGCATGGTGGCATGGTGAAGACATCGCGTTTTTGCGTAGAAGCTATCGCCGCTTAGTCGGTCTTTAATGTAGCTTGGGCTGAAAGATCGAACATGTTACGTTTGCGGCCGGTTGCGCGTCCCTCAAAACACCCTGACGTGCGGCGCCTCGGCATGGCTGTCGCTGCTGGTCGCCATCTTGGATGCCCCCCGCATGCCGCCCAGCCGCGTGGCGTCGACATACGCGGCGCCTGCTCGTATTGCCACCGCCTTCTCCACTATCCTTGGCTCGTCTGCCTCGCCTCCTTGTTCTTCCTCCTCGCTGGTGGGGCGGCCGCCTGTCGGCCCCTCCATCTGCGGCCCCTCTGCGCGAGCGCGCTCTTCGGTCGTCTCGCCGCCGCTCGGCGCGCCCTGCTCTGGCAGCTGCTCCACGTATTCCTCCTCGCCGAGGTGGCCCTCCAACTGCGCGAAGGGGCCCTCCTCCTCTGCGGCCTTGACGGGGGACCTCACCGGGGCAATGGTGGCGGTCGGGGTTGACGTCCTGTCTAAACTTCACGATGGCGGGCGCGGTCAGTGGCCGTCCTGGCCCCCCGCTGCCCCCGCCGCCTCCGCTGGGGGGCGCGAGACCTCCTCCGTGGCCACCTCCCCGCTGCTGGCCCGCGCAGCCGGCAATTTGGCCCTCGCCAGCAGCGCGCCGCTCCTTGCAGGCTGCCGCTGGTGCTGCTGCTGCTGCTGCTGCTGCTGCTGCTGCTGCTGCTGCTGCTCCTCCTCCTCCTCCTCCTCCTCCTCCTCCTCCTCCTCCTCCTCCCGGGGAGCCCTGCCACCCGCGTGGGGCCAGCGCCTCCCGCCTCGCGTGGTTCAGCCTCATCTCCTCCACAGCGTGGCCTCCCCTTGTCTCCTCCTTGCTGCTTTCGCCTCCTCCTCTGGCGCCTGCGCCTGCCTGCGCGCCGCCGCCTGGCGTTGCGGCCTCTGCCTCGTCCTCTTGCCGCGCGGGTCCGGCGGCTTCGGCGGCCTCGGCGGGTGGGGGGGGCATCGTGGCATCGCCGGTCTCCTGCGCGCTTGGCCTGCGCCTCGCCTCGCAGTGTCACCCTCAAGCCGATGTGCGGCTTCCAGGGGGCGTCGCATACTGCCTCGATGCCCTTCGCGAGGTCCACGCCCTGCGAGTTGGCCAACGCGAAATCGATGTTCGACTGGCTCTGGCCCAGGAAGCAGGCGCGGTGGCCGTTGGGCACCGTGATGAGGGACGCCGCGCCCATCATCTGAGGCCAGCCTGAGTCCTCGAACACCTGCGGCTCCACGTTGGAATCCCCGCAGAGGAGCCAGGCTCCCTTGATAGTGCGCAGGAAAGCCGCCAACCCCGTGAGCTTCCTGCCGCCGGTGCCTTCTTTCGGCGGCTGTCCGCTGTCCAGGTGGGGGCTGGCCAATGTGATCGTCGTGCCATTCAGGTGCCGCGTCATCGGGGCCCAGTCGTACGCGTCGAGGCCTAGCGTCCACTTGCTGCCGTTCGTGTCCGTCGTCGCCTTCGTGACCTGCGAGCTGTCCGCCACCTGGCTCCTGAAGGTGGAGGCGCGCAGGTGACCCTTTATCGCCATCGCAATGCTTCCTTGTGTCCCCAACTCCGATCTCGAACTGACTCTCGCAGCCGTGAAGCTGTCTTGTAGTCCATCTTCATAAGGTCGTGCTCCGTCTGCTCCGGCGCCGCCTCCGCCGCATGCGTCTCCTGCAACGCGTAGGCGTCGAAGCCCCGTCGCAGCGACTAATGCCCCGTCCGCAGCTTGGCCGTGGGCCCCCAGGTCGTGAGGTTAGCGAACAAGAGCGCGCGCTCCTGAGGCCCGCCGCCGCCTCCCCTTCTACGGGGGGCCTCGCGCGGCTGCTGTCAGCAGCCCGTCTCCGCGCTCGGGGCTGCGGGCGATTTGCCCTCGCCCCTCGCGCGCCTCCCCTGCAGGGGCTCCTCAGCTCCTTCAGGCTGTGCTGCTTCTGCCTCGCTGCCGCTCGCTTCTCCTCCTGGTGGGGCCGTGCCGGCTGCAGCTACCCCCGCTGTCTGCGCCGTCTGCGCCTCCTCGTTCGCCTCCTCTGCGTGCGCTGCCTTGCGCTTCTTCGCCGCCTGCTTGATCGTGGCATTTGCCTTCTGCGCCTTGGCCTCGGCATGCTCCAAGTGATCCGGAGCTGGCCGGAGAAGGTCTGAGCGTTGGCCTTCATCTGCGCCACCACCTGCTCCTTCGCCGCTGTCACCTCTCGCTTCGCCTCGTCGTCAAGGTCCTCCTCCTCCTCCTCCTCCAGGTCCAGCTCCTTGGCGAAATCGGCCATCAGCTGGCCCTCGGTCAGCTCGTCCATCTGGCCGCTGACTAGCTGCTCCGCAATTCCTGAGAGCGCCTCCTTCCCTCCTCGCTGGATCGCCTCGATGAGCTTCTCCGCTGCGAGAGCCTCGTCTGCCTTCGCCTCCACACGAGCCGCTGCCTTCGCCGCCGCCTCGTCAGCCGTCTTCTGCTCGAGGAAGGCCGTTGCGAACTGCCTCTTCGCCGTCTCCTGCGTCCTCACCGCCGCCGCGAAACGCGCCGCCTTGGATGGCAGATCCTTCGGCGGACTGGACGCCTGCAGCGCCGTGGTGGCGCCTGCGAATTGTTGACGGATCTGCTCCGCGCTGGCCCGCCCCATCGTGCCGATGGTGTCCGTCACCAGCTGCAGCGCCTTCGCGAGCTGCTCTGCTCCTTTGCCTTTCTCCTGGGCCCCTTTGGCCTCCTGCTGCCTTCGGCCGTCTCTGGGCGCGCTGGGTCCCCAGTGGCTGGTTTTGCCCACCGCGCTGGGTCCCCAGTGGCTGGTCTTGCCTGCGCCAGGAAGCTTCTGCCCGCAGCTGCAAGTGTGGCGCATGGCCTCCAGGCGGTCGCTCCACCACCACTCGCTGCAGCCGCGGCAGACGATGCAGGTGCCTCCTTTGCAGCCTCCTCCTGCTTTGTCTGCTTTGCCGCCTCCTCCTCCTCCTCCTCCTCCTCCTCCTCCTCCTCCTCCTCCTCCTCCTCCTCCTCCTCCTCCTCCTCCTCCTCCCTTGGGCTGTCCTTCTCGGCCCATGGCTGCTGCAAGGGCTTGGCTGCCGTGGTGGAGGTCCAGCAGGATGCGGGCGCTCTCGATCCTGATCCCCTTGCGGGCCTGGCGGCGCTGCCTCCTCAGGCGGCGGTGCCAGCCAGGCGATCGCGAGCGCGCGCGCTCACGGCGTCGCCCCGCCGTGGGGCTGGGGGCTATCGCCGCGGGCCGCCGCTCCGTCGTCGCGTGGGGCAGAATGCCTGCGGGCGGGGGAGGGCGCCGCGCTGCGAGCCGCCTAAGGACAGATGCCAGGCGAGGGAAATACGGTAGGGAGGAGGACAGATGCAAGGGGAGGAGGACAGATGCAAGGGGATGGGAGGAAGAGAGGGGCAAGGGGAGGACAGAGGCAAGGGGAGGAGGAGAGAAACAGAAGACATGACGCCCGCGCGTTCACAGCAGCATAAGGCCAGAGTCGCGCGTGGTTCGCCGCCGGGACTGGACCACAAGCCTTGTGCGCGGCCCCCCAGGAGTTGCCAAGGATCTTCTGGTTGAGACGCCATCGCATTACATACATAAGTATACGGGTGACGTGCGGTCGCTTTTCATAATGTGTCTCGCGCCCTAGCGCCGCGCACATTAGCTTCAACAATTCCAACAGCAAGTTGCACGGACGAGAGACAGACAACCCCTCCTCGACTTCCGTAGAGTGAAAACAACCAACATCGAACATGGCCCAACAGGTACACACACACTAATGCGCTGATATTCAGGCTCTCGCTGGATACATCCTTGAACATTATGTAGTATGCCCAGACTGCCTGGTGCAAGCATTGTGCAGATGGACGCTGGCACTTGTTCAACAAAGGTATCTCGCTGGATTGCCCCTTGATGCTTCTGATC